TCTTTTTGAGACAGGGTCTCTCTGTAGCCCCAGCTGGCCTGGAACTTGCTATGTAGACCAGGCTGGCCTTGAGCTCACAAAGATCCACCTGCCTCTGCCTCCCAAGTGCTGGGATTAAAGGCGTGTGCCCAATATTTTATTTATTATTTTTATTTTATGTGTATGAGTGTTTTTCCTGCATGTATGTAAATGTACCTCATGCATGCAATGCCCACAGAGGCTAGAAGAGAGTGCCAGATCCCCTTGAACTGAAGTTACAGACAGTTGTTAGCCATCTTGTGGGTGCTGGGACTCAAACCCAGGTCCTCTGGAAAAACAGTGTTCTTAACTGCTGAGCCATCTCTCCAGCTCCCTCACTGGGAATATTTTTCAATGAACATGCTGGGGGCACAGCACGGATTAACATACCAAAGAGAAGAGGAAGCTCAGAATGTCACGGTGTTTAAAAACAGCCCCTGCCAGCTCTCCCTCTCAGAAGTACACTTATTCTACAGTCTTACACTTGGAAGCGGACTTTGAGGATGCCTCTTGTTCAAGCCCAGAACCTGAACTCTTGTGGAGTTCTTGTTTTATTTAAACAGTTACTGTCATTTTGCACTATGTTTTCCTGTCCACAATTATCAACTAGATTAATAGAAAAAGAAAAACTCATCCCATGCTAACCAATGAAAGATCTTGAGCCTAGGTTTAGAATTCTACAGGTAGAATAAATACCAATGATTCAAAACTAATGAAAAGAATGAACAAGAATCACTGCACTTTAATATGCAGAATGCATTTGGGGTTTATGATAACACAAATGCTTTCAAAAAAGTTAAGATGTGGGGCTAGAGAGAAGGCACAGCGGTTGAGAGCACTGGCTGCTCTTGCAGAGGACCCAGGTTCAGTTCCCAGCTCCCACATGGTGGTTCACAACTGTCTGTAACTCCAGTTCTAAGGGATCCAATGTCCTTTTCTGACCTCCTCAGACATTGCATGACATGGGTGCACTTACAAACATGCAAGGAATGCACTCATACACATGAAATGAAAATAATAAATATTTTTAAGTGAAAACAATAGCCAGGTGTGGTGGCATAGTACTGAGGAGGCAGATGGATCTCTGTAAGATCAAGTCCAGCCTGGTCTACATAGCAAGTTCCAGGCCAGTTGGGGCTACAGGGAGACTCTGTCTCAAAAAACTACATACAGGGGGCTAGAGAAATGGCTCAGAAGTTAAAAGTTCTTGCAAAGGACTCAGCACCCACATGGAGGCTAAAAATCATTAATAACTGCAGTTCCAAGGGATCCAATGTCTCTTCTGAACTCCAAGGGGTACTTCACACATGTGGTACACTTACATACATGCATCCACAACACTCATACACATAAAAGTAAACCAAGCAAAAAAAAAATGTTTTAAACCACACACACACAAAAAAAAAAAATACAGGAAAAAATGAAAAATAAATGAATAAATGGAGACTAAATGCTTTCCCCCGCTCTGCCCTCTTTCTAACCACTTCCTCTGACTAGCAAGCGTCTTCATTCAGTTTCTCAGGAAGTAACATCACTCACCTTGCTAATCTTCACAAGGAGCTTAATAATTATTTCCCCATGTTGAAGTTCAATGTTCTGTGTCTGCTGTGTTTGCAGCTTAGGAATGGTTATGGCCACATGACCACCAACCGGCTTTGAGCTGACAACATCAAAATAAGCCTCTATTTCAAGATGCCACTCCTGGGCAGTGTCATCTGCAGCACAAAGGGAAAACAAAGAGAATTCACTGAAAACAAGCCCAAGCAGCTGCTAAGCCAAAGTGTGCTCCACAGTGCTGTCATCATGAAAAGTTAAGTGGAAACATTTTTTCTCTTCTTTCTAAACGACTAAGAATTATGCACAGACTTCTAGCAGCACATGGAAAATAAAGCTGTTGAAGTTCACAATGCACAAATCTTAAGTAACCAGTAATTATCATGATATCACTGGCATGCTCCTTTTTATCTGCTAGCTTACCATCATCCTCGCCGTGGTTGAGGATCGCTGCATCTTCTATATTGCAACCTTTGCTAGAATACAGCTTCCTAGCCCTTCTCTTCTAGCATGCACAAGTTATCAGTGCCTAAAGAAACCTATCATCCTCAGCTCTCTTGGATGCAAGGTAATTTCAAAAGTAGTACTGGGGTTAAGGATAGGAAAGAAGGAAGGCAGGTAACCCCAAATTCCCTACAGCACCTATGCCTCCCAACTTCACTAAATTTGGCTTCCTCTCCTCACCCTGACAGTCCAGGTCCATGCAAGAAAGAAACTCCTGAAGGACCAGGAGGACAGGCAAGGCTGGCCTGCCATCTTTGTGTGAGGCTGTCCTTGGCCTGAAGCCTCAGTCTTCCCCATGGGCACTGGTGCCCTGTGCTCATGCAGAAGAGATGACAGTTTATTCAGATGACCTCTGCCAGGAAGGCAGTCCAGAGTAGGGTGAAGAATGTAGTTCTAACCAATAGCTCATCTTCCCAGAGCCAGCTCATGAGAGTTCTTGAAGGGAAGCGGGGAAAAAAAGAAAAGAAGGAAAGCACGGACAAGAGGGAGAAGGAAGGAAGGAAGGAAGGGATGGAGGAAGAGAGGAAGGGACAGAGGGAGGGAGGAAGAGAGGAAGGGACAGAGGGAGGGAGGGAGGGAGGGAGGGAGGGAGACCACGTGTCTGGCCTGGATGGGAATGGAATTTGTAGCAATACTAAAAGATATACTACCCAGATCAATGTGTGGCAGTGCCTTCATTCAAAGGATCAAAGAATCATTAAGACTTCTCTAGCATGTATGCAAGTCATTCAACTTTAAAATCTTCTAAAGAGGCTAAGAGGGTTGAGGACATGACTAAGTAGTGGTAGAATGCTTGCCTAGCACATATGAGGTCTTGGGTTCCATCCCTACCATAGAAGGGAAAAAATTCTCTAAAGAATGCTAGTTTTGTTTTGTTTTATGTGTATAGTGTATTGCTTGCATGTAAGTAGGTATACCTGTGTGGTGCAATGCCTGTGGAGGTCGGAGAGGGTTCTGGATCCCCTGGAACTGGCATTATGGATGGCTGTAATCTGCCATGTGGGTACTGGGAATCAAACCTGGGTCCTCTGCAAGAGCAGCCAGTGCTCTTAACTGCTAAGCCATCTCTCCAGCCCCAGAATGCTACTGGTTTTTTGTTGTTGTTGTTGTTTGCTTTGTTTTGTTTTGTTTTTTTTAAAGAATGTCAGCTATACAGGCCACTTCTCTCTTTTTTTGACAGGGTCTTCCTGTAGCCCAGCTGATCTGGAACTCACTATGTAGACCAGGCTGGCCTTAATCTCACAGAGATCCACCTGCCTCTGCCTCCAGAGTGCTGGGATTAAAAGTGTGCACAACCATGCCCAGCTTTACAGTCCACTTTTATTTTTCCTTTATGTGCATGAGTGCCTTGGCTGCATGTATGTGAGTGCACCCATGTTGTGCAAAGCTTGGGAGGCCAGAAGAGGGTGTCAGATCCCCCAGAACTGGGGTTATGGATGGTTATTAGCCACCATGTGGATGCTGGGAATTGAACCCAGGTCCTCTGGAAGAGCAGCCAGTGCTCTTAACCACTGAGCCATCTCTCTAGCCCCTCAGTCCACTTCTTTATCAGGATGTAGCTAGCAAAAAAGAAATGAGGAGTCAGAGTGATGGCTCAACAGGTAAAGGCACCTGCCACCAAGGACCACACATGCCCCAGACCCACACAGTGAAAGAACAGATTCTACAAGTTATCCTCTGAACCCCCACCTGTAGGCAGGATCCATGCACTGACACACACTAAATAACTAGACTGTTAAATGCAACTTTTAAAAAGAAATAAGAGGCTTTATTCAGCTTCTTAGGAAAGAAAAGTATAAAGAAGAGATAGAGAAACCAGGCCAGGAGGTGCATACCTGAAATCCCAGCACTTGGAAGGTGGAAGCAAGAATTTCAGGAGTTCAAGGTCATTCTCAACTATATAGCCACTTAGGGACCAGTATGGGCTACATGAAACCAGATCTCAAAAAAAAAAAAAAACCAAACAAACAAAACAAAAACAGTAACAATTTTAAAAGGGAGAGAGAAAGAGAAAGAGAGAGAAATAAGATGTTGGTTAAGGGCTGGAGATGTGGTTCAGCAGTTAAGATCACTGGCTGCTCTTGCAGAGGACCTGTGTTCAGTTCCTAGCACACACATGGTGACTAACAACCATTCATAACTCTGGTTCCAGGGGATCTGATGCCCTCTTCTGACCTCCACAGGCATTGTGCACATAGGATACGCTTACATACTTTCAGACAAAACACTCATACACATAAAAATAAAAACAAAAAAGCACCATCTTTGTACCCAAGCTACCTGATAAAGGCAATGAAAACAGATATGTGAACAGCTACGAAAACAAGTGAGAGACACTGTCTGAAAAATTGCTGTCTGAAAACACTGTTAAGTCTAGAAACTATATCCAAGGTGCTGTCTCTAACTCTGAAAATGTGGGGCTGGAGAGATGGCTCAGTGGTTAAAAGCAATGACTGCTCTTGCAGAGGACCCAGGTTCAGTTCCCAGCATCTACAAATCAGCTAACAACTGTCCATAACTGTTCCATGGGATCCAGCACATTCTTCCCACCTCTGAGGGGATTGCACACAGGTGGTGTCCTTCCATACATGCAGCAAAACATTTATGCACATAAAATAAAAACAATTTTTTTTAAATTTAAGAATGCCGGATGGACTGATCATTTAACTCAGTTGGTTAGAAGACGGTGCTCTTGCCTCATAAGTGTAAGGACCTGAGCTTGAATCCCCAGAGCCCTATAAATGGCACACCTGTAATCCCAGTGTTACTGCAGGGAAACTGGAGGTAGAAACAGGAGAAATTCCAAGAAGTTCATGGGCCAGCTGCCCTGACACACACAACAGTGAACGAGAGACACTGTGACAAAGAGGAAGGCAAGGACCAGCATCCAAGGATGTCTTCTGACCTCCACACCCGCACAGTGGTACATACACATGCTCACTCTCACACAGGAAAGCACACACACATATGAGAGAGAAAAAAACATATCAGATGGCGCCTAGGGCTTAGGATAGCGAGGAAACAGAAGTTCAGAGGCAGGAAACACGGGGGGCACCATGGGATGGGTCTGCAATTGTTAGTTGCTTGAGGAAGATGAAAAGGTGTTTCATCTCACTAACGGAAAAGGCAGCTGCCTTGATTAGGTTTCTCCTCTTGAGTTCCTCCCTGCCCCCCCACCCAGACTGCTCTTTCTTCCTGAGACTTTATTAAAGAATGCGAAGCTATAGAGGGAAGCGATTGTGGACATTTAAAGAAAAAGTGATGTCACCACTCTGCAATGACCACATCACGGAATGTGTAAACTGAGACACAAGATATTTGCCTGAATTCACGTTAGAATCCCAGGGCAGATTCAAGCAGCTGTTTTTTCAAAGAGCTGACAGCTGAGTTCTCCAGAAAGGCAGGCTCGGTTAATTACAGCAGCTGTTCCCGTTTGACCGACCAGGGCGGGCTCCTTGCCTATTTAGCAGGTCAGACTTCTCAAAAATGAAGTTACAGCAAAAATACCCAGGGCAAAATGCCCCTCAAAATAAGGACAAGTCAGTAAGTTCCAGAGAACATGATATGCTCCAGCAACCAGGCAGCTAACCAGAGGAGAGTTTATTCATTCAGCCTAACGATGGATGAAGTTGTTTCAAGGGAAGACACTGGTATTCTAGGGGGAAAGTAATACAGAAATAAATGAAAAAGAGAATCGCAAGGAATAGCTGGACTGCCTACAGAACAAGGCACTCACACCGGGCCTGGCCTGGTCGAGCCGAGAGAACAGCCCACTCCCCTACCTCAGAGGCAGGACGTCTAGAATGAAGGAGGGACCTCCAGGCTGAGGCAGAACCTACATGTGAACAGGCATCAGAGGAACACCTCTGAGGTGTTGGGAATGTCTCAAGCACCGGTCAGAGATGCAGGGCCTAATTCATATCAAGAAATATGAAAGCAGGCTGGGGAGAAGGTCCCGTGGATAACAGCACTTGCTGTGTAAACATGAGGATCTGAGTTCAGATCCTGTAATCCCAGTGCTGTTGCGGGTAGAGACAAGAGGATGGCTGGGGCTAGCTGACTACCAGCACAGGTCCAATTTCAGAGAGAGACCCTGTATCAAAGGAGTAAGGTGGACAGTGAAAGAGCAGGAGACGTAACGGCCCCCTCTGGCCTCTAGGAGCATGCTTACCCCCCTACATACACACATTGAATTATAAATAAATAAATAAATAAATAAATAAATAAATACAATTTTTTTAAGTATGAAAGGGAACTGCCAGGTGGAAAAGTGTCTCTAACTGAACATGGTAGAGTTCACCTGTACTCCCAGCACTTGTGAGGCTGAGGCAGGACTGCCACAAATTTGAGGCCAGCCTGGGCTACAGAGTGAGTCAGAGTCAAGCAGTCATCTTCCCTTTTTCCTTCTTTCTTCCCTTCCTTCCTCTTTTCCCTCCTTTCCCATCTTTTTTTTTCCCAAAATAGGCTAACAGGTATCGACCTACCCACCTGTTTTATACTTGAAATTTTCATGACCATTGTTTATATCTATTCATACTTCTTAAAACTATTTATTGATTCTTTTAATTGTATGAGTGTATTGCCTGCATGTATGTCCTGCAGTGCTTACAGAGGACAGAAGAGGGTGTCAGATCCCCTGGAACTGGAATTATGGACAGTTGTTAGCCACCATGTGGGTGCTAAGATTCAAACCTGGTCTTCTACAAGAACAACCAGTGCTCTTAACCACTGAGCCATCTCTCCAGCCCCCTATTTCATACTTTTATAAACTGTATGTGCCACTAGGCACGGTGGCGCATGCCTTTGGTCCCAGCACTTGGGAGGCAGAGGCAGGTGGATCTCTGTGAGTTCAAAGCCAGCCTGGTCTACATAGTGAGTTCCAGGCCAGCTGGGACTACATGGAGACCCTGTCTTAAAAATACCATAATAAAAATAAATAAATAAATTGAATGTGTCACATTATTTTAAGAAGTCTCTAAAAAATTAACCTATATTTTCAAATTGTAAACATGATTTTTGTAACAAGGAGGAGAAAAATAATAAAATAATAATAATAATAATAATAATAATAGGGCCAGGAGTGGTGGCACAAGCCTTTAATGCCAGCACTTGGGAGGCAAAGGCAGGTGCATCTCTGTGAGCTTAAGTCTAGACTAGTCTACTGGTCTAAATAGTGAGTTTCCTCCCCCCCCCAAAAAAAACAAACAAAAAAAACAGAAATCACAATTCTTGGCTTACCATATAATGGCGAAAATGTGAGGTAATTCAGATGACAAACATTATAGGCTTCAATTCTAACGTCTTTCCAGATTCCTTGAGTAGGAAAAGAAGGCCCCCAGTCCCAGCTAAAGGAACACTGCTCCTGTAATTTCAAGGGAAGAAGGAAAAGATGCATTCTGAATATTCCAGAATTTAGACATTATTTAAGCATTTTCAAGGGGCAGTGGCAAGTAAAAACAAAATGTAATGATATATGTATGTGAAAATGTCATGATGCTAGCCAAATAAAAAAATTAAGAAAAGGAACAACATTTTCTTTTAAAGTACTATATGTGCATGTGTATATCAGTTTACTAATGATGCCACAGCAAAATACCACAGACTAGGGGGGCTTTACCAAAAGAAATTTATTTCCTCACAGTCAAGAGGCCAAACATCCAAGATGTGGGTGTCAGCAGAAGTGTTCCCTCACAGGCGTCTCTCCACTCACCTTTCCACCATGCCACTTATGTGTTCTATGCACCAGCACCCTGCTCTCCGCACCCGAACCCCGTCCAAATGTCCTTATCCTAAGCACCTCATTTTAACTTAATTACCTCTGTGAAGACTAATCCAAATACAGTTAGAGCTGAAATACTGGAGGGGAGGTTGTTACAACTTCAACATGTAAGTTTGGGAACACCATTCTTTCCCTGTGTGCGGGTACAGGTGTACGAATGTGTCACAGCACATGCAGCCTCTGCTGTGGCTTACAGTGATCCCTCCTGGTGTTTGTGCCTTCCTGTCTCACCTCCCTTGCCTATGTGCTGAATAAAGAGAACCACTTCCTATCAATAGAATAGATAATGTCATTTTCAAACTTAGATTCTAAAAGACTGGGCCTTCTGTTTGGGGCCCATCCCATGCTCTCTTTTGACCAAGAGGGAATCTAGCTGCTGTGTCCTGGAGCAGCACTGTCGGGAGGCCCACACGAGTCATCTCCAAAGCCGATCTGAGGCCTCCACAGCCACAGGTGAGCTCAGAATGCTCCTTGGCCCCCGTTAAGCATGAGGTGACTGCATGACTGAGAGACACTGAGTGACAAGTACCCAGCCAATCTGAGCTCAGGTTCCTGATCGACAGAAACATAAGAATAAGTTCAGTTTAAGCTGAGAAGTTTGGGTGTAGCTTGCTAAAAAGAATAGATAATTATTACAGTAACCAAAATATCAACTCAAGCATCATAATTAAAGCTGTCAAAAAGAACATAAAAGCCAATTATAAAGAGTTTTACATTTATTCTGCAAAAGCATATTATACTGCCAGGTGTGGTGGTGCACACCTTTAATCGCAGCATTGGGAGGCAGAGACAGGAGAATCTTTGTCCAGCCTGATCTACACATTGAGTTCCAGGTCAGCTGGGGCTACAGGGAGCCCCTGTCTCAAAACAAAACAAACAAAAAGTATACTATATTGAAACTACAGTAATTTATTTATTTACTTGTTTAACTTAGTTTAGGTTTAACAATATCACTATGGAGCCCAAGCTGGCCTTAAGCTAGTGATCCTCCTGTCTCAGCCTCTTAAGTGCTGGGAGTATAAGCAGTTTATCATCACATCCAGGAAATAGCTATTCTTTGTAAAGTTCTCCAAATATCTCTAACCAAGGAGTAGTCTTATTAAAAGATATAACTATTAGGACCAGCTGTGGTGGCATATGCCTTAAGTCTCAGCACTAGAGAAGTGGAAGCAGGCAGACCTCATTGAGTTTGAGGCCAACCTGGTCTACATAACAAGTTCCAAGCTAACCAAAGCTACATGTTGAGATGCTGTCTCAAAGAAACAAAAAATAAAAAATAAAGATGTTAGAAATGAGGGCTGGAGAACGGGCTTAGTGGTTAAGAGCACTTGCTACACTTATAGAGGACCCAGGTTCAGTTCCCAGCACCCATACGACAGCTAACAACAGTCTATAACTTCAGTTCCAGGGATTCCGATGTCTGACACCCTCTTCTGTCCTCCATAAGCACTGCACCTATGTGGTACACTTACATGCAGGCAAACACTCAAACACATAAAATAAATAGTTTTAAATTTAAGATATTATAAACAAGTTTTTTAAAATGCCTAGTCTTAATTACCCCTACTTCATTAACTATAAACTCAAAAGTCCCTTTTCAGGAATGTAGGACACAAAAACAATCAGTTCAAACTTCAGACACTGACACTGATGGCTAAGGCAGGTATTTTATCTAATCTTACCTGCCTGGCTATCAGTCTGAGGAACCATGACATTCAATTTCCATCTTAGGAAGTCACAAAGGTTCACAATCAAAAATGGGAGATGATTCTTTTAAGTTTCCTGAGACTGGAGAGATGACTCAGTGGGTAAGAACACTTACTGCTCTTCTAGAGGACCCAGGTTCGGTTCCCAGCACCCAATACATTGTCATAGTGATGAAAAGTGATTGACATAATGAAGAGAGGAGTTGGAAAAATGGAGCTTTGTGAGATCGAGGTCAGCCTGGCCTTCATTGTGAGTTCCGGACCAGCTGGGGCTATAGGAAGATCCTGCTCAAAAGCAAACAAAAACCCAAATAATAATAATAATTAGTAGTAGTAGTAGTAGTAGTAGTAGTAGTAGTAGCAGTAGTAGTAGTAGTATTTGTAAGACTGGAAATGTAGTTCAACTGATAAAGTATATACCCAACATGTGCAAAGCCCTGGGTTGGCCCTTAGCACTACACAAAACCAGACATGGTGGTACATGCCTGTATCCTAACACTCTGCAAGACAGGAGAATCAGAAGTTTGAGGCCATCCTTGACTACATAGCAAGTAAACCAGCCTGGGCTACAGGAGACCCTGCTTTAAATAATAATGTAGGGGGCTGGAGAGATGGCTCCACAGTTAAGAGCACTGGTTGCTCTTCCAGTGGACTGGGGTTCCATTGCCAGCATGCTCATGGCTGCTGAAAACTGTTTATAGCTCCAGTTCCAGGGGATCCAATGCCCTCTTCTGGCTCTGGGCATTGTACATACATGGTGCACTTACACTTATGAAGGCAGAACACTCATACACATAAAAATAATCAAATAATAATATAGCAATTTATAAAGTCCTATTATCAGCCATCCATGATGATTTACACCTATAATCCCAAGATTTGGGATGCTGAATTGGGAGAATTGCTATAAGTTTGAGGCTACCTTGGGCTATATAGTGAGTTCTAGGCCATCCTAGGCTACAGCCAAGTTCTATTCCAGTCACATATTTTTCCTTTTTGTTGTTGCTGTTGTTGTTGTTACCTAAGTTTTGAAGCATGCATTAGGAAGAAAACCTAGAAAGCTGAAGATTCTCCACAGAAATTCAAAGGAACTTTTGTTCTTATCTCAAATCTTCAGTTCCCACAGAGGGATCAGATTAGAAGCTTCTGAGACACCACCAGAATCTTCAAATAAGCATCCCTCTGCCCACACATCCCACCCTCCAAGCTGAAATCCACCTTTCTCATTACCTTCCGAATAAAGTTGACATGGCATTCACCCTTCTGCACCGGCGGAGGGCAGGCTGGGGGCACCGGGTAGCGGGTGTGCGCTTGGCTCTGCTGTGCAGCGTACAACACTGCCGATTGGAAATGCAGTTCTACAGAGTTCATGTCTCTGACCACATCGGTGATATCAAAGCTCTGAGGTAAGGAAAATAACAGACAAACCCACAAGATAGAAGCAGTTTGGTGTATAAAACTTTAGATAAAGGCACACTATATGGAAAGATGCATGAGATAGTCAAACCTAGGGCTAGCCTCGTCAGGGAAAGCACTCCAAGGCAGAACTCAGTCACACACCTTCAGCTATAGCACAGTACAGTCTCCTCTCTAAGCAAAGATTTCTGGGCTTCTATTTTTACTGACAAGATGACAGACCCAGAGAAACACACAGAGCAGAAAATATCTTTAACCAAGGAATGTCTGCCCTGGCTTTGTGCACATGGCCTTGAACTGCCAAGGATTCCTAGAAGCTTTCTGACAACTGGACTCTCTCGAATGCATAGCATGTATTTCTAAGTCATAAGTTATCTTTTTTTTGAAAAGTGCACCCTCGAGGGGCATGGTGGTGCAAGTCTTTAATCTCAGCACTCAGGAGGCAGACACAGGTGGATCTCTGTGAGTTCAAGGCAATCCTGGTTAACATAGTGAGTTCCAGGCCAGCTGGGGCTACAGGGACACCCTGTCTCAAAAAAAGAAAAAGAAAAAGAAAAAGTGTACCCTTGAAATGGAAAGGAAATAATGATACAATCTCAGCATGATTATTGAAAACATTCTCTTAAAATCATTTGTCAATTGTCATCCCCTAAGGAAACTGGGGATCACTAGGCCACAGAGAAGTGACAGCAAAGGTAGAACATAGGATTTACTTACTAAGGAACCCCGTGGGATTTGTACTGTTTCTATCTTCTACAAACCTGCACCTGAGAAACACAGTAACTCATCCAGTAATAAAAGACCTTGTACTTGCCCCATGGCCAGTTATGCAATTCCCTCTCCCTAGTCATAACAGAAACACAAACACACATGTCTTTAACCTGGTGTCATTGTGAACTTACATATGCAGTGAACATGTTGTCTGTTTTCCCAATGGTGACATTATTAAACAAAATTCTTGCAACTGTATCAACTCCTTCAAAAATCAAATTTACTTTCTGCCATTTGCTAAGAAAAAGAAAAAGATTTATAAGATGTGATGTATGAAACATTAATTCACATATTTTTTTTGGTCTTTTTGAGACAGGGTCTCCCTGTAGCCCCAGCTGTCCTGGAACTCACTCTGTAGACCAGGCTGGCCTTGAACTCACAGAGATCCTCCTGCCTCTGCCTCCTGAGTGCTGGGATTAAAGGTGTGTGCCACCACGCCCGGCCTACATAAGTCTTTTTAAGTAGTCAAGAATTAAAGAAATAAATATTTCACAGAAAATGTACATTCTTTTTTTACTTAACTAATTTATTTATTTTTATTTTTATTCCTGCATGTGTGTAAGTGTACCCGTGTCACGCAGTGCCTATGGAGGACAAAAGAGGGTGTCAGATCCCCTGGAACTGGAGTAATGGACAGTTGTTAGCTGGGATTCAAAGTCAGGTCTTCTGTAAGAACAGCCAGTGCTCTTAACTGCTAAGCTATCCCTCCAGCCCTGAAAATGTACATTCTTAACTGGCAGTTTCCACTCAAATTTCAGGAATATTGGTTTGATATATATGTATTTTCTTTAAGTAATCCAGTTTGTTTTGCCCCATAATGTATCAGTCAAAGAATCACCATAAAATTTAGAGTGCAAATTATAATTTCCAAATGAGTTAATTTTTTCAGTTACTTCACAAAGTTCTTATTCTTAAGAATACCCTTAATAATACACAAAATGTTTGCCAAAGAGTGCATTTACTGACAGCAAGAGAGCATATGTTACCTAGTATCTAACAGTGAATACCATGTGCCCAGTACTCTGCTAAGCCTTACTGGGAACAAGCCCTGAACTTAGATTTAGGCAGGCTCTGCAGTCTGGATGGCATTTAAGCCTAATATATAGGAATAATCAGAAACTTTGTTCTGTTCTTCAAGAGCTTGTGTTGAACAACTACAAGGGCTACCAGCGGCTTACTGCATAAGAGAAGACTTTCAGAAGAAGAGTTCAAGAAAAAGATAAATCAAACGCAGTATACCCAAGCAACATAATATTTTTTATCAATAAAAAGGAAGTAAGCAATGATAAATTCAAGAACACTGTTGAACTTTGAAATAATTATTATGCTAAGCAAAAGAAGCTCTTCACAAAAGATCAGGTGTGAGTCAATGTCCATAAAGCACTGGATAAGAAAAGTCCACAGAGACAGGAAGTGAGACACTGGTTGTCTAGGCTGGGATGGGGGGTGGGTGAGGAATGGGATGTGGTGATTTTTGCACAACTCTGTGAATATATTCAAAACCACCAAATTATACATTAAATAAGTAAATTATATGTTTTGTGGATTAGAGTTCAATAATATCATTTTCTTAAAGATAAGTAGAAATGCCAGGATCAATAGCCAGGTGTGGTGGCACCTTTAGTCCCCACACTTGGGAGGCAGAAGTAGGCAGATCTTTGTGAGTTTGCCTGGTCTACATAGCAAGTTCTAGGCTAGCTGGGGCTACAGAGAGACCCTGTCCCAGAAAAACCAAGAAAGAAAGAAAGAAAGAAAGAAAGAAAGAAAGAAAGAGCCATTGTTAATTTGAGGGAGGGAGGGAGGGAGGGAGGAGGAAGGAAGGAGGGAGAGGAAGGAGGGAGAGGAAGGAGGGAGGGAGGGAAGGAAGGAAGGAAGGAAGGAAGGAAGGAAGGAAGGAAGGAAGGAAGGAAGGAAGGAAGGAAGAAAGAAAAAAAAAGAAATGCCAAGATCACAGAGAAAATCCCCAAGGAAGTTTTAATAGCATCAGTTACTTTAAGGAGGAATACTTTAGGGCTGAGAGATGGCTCAACAGTTAAAATCACTGGCTGCCCTTGCAAAGGACCCAGGTTCAATTCCCAGCACCCACATGGCGGCTAACAACCATCTGTAACTCCAATTCCAGGGAATCCGATGCCCTCTTCTGATCTCCTTGGGCACTGCACAACATGAGTGCACCTACCTACATGCAAGCATTACATTCATACACATAAAATAAAAATAATAAATAAAATATTTTTTAAAAAAGAGAAAGACTTGATTTAGATCACAATTTGGGTTGAGGAGCTGAGGGGGAGAAACCCAAACAAGTTGGGGGATGGGGACCAGAGAGGGTTTAGGCAGCATCACCGCAACACAGGTGATTGTCACAGACACAGAGAAGTTGAGACTTTGCCAGGACAAGAAATGCACTTCCTGTTCCTGAGCAAAAACACGTTGTGGCAAAATCAATACTTGGAGAAGATAATCTGAGGTCCGCTCATAGGAAAGACAGGAGACAGAAAAGGCAAAAAGCAAGAGATTCAATTAGGCAGCTTTGGGTTTTTGCTAAGCACTCACTTTCCAGGTGAAGCTGGAAAGTGGGAAATGAGAAGAAAGGGGCTCCACTAAGGGAAATGTCAGGCAAACGTTAACAACATGTAGAAGTAATGAAATAGAAGGAGATGAGGAGAAAGGAAGCAGCAAAACCACCACCATAAACACTGAAGGTTGGGAAGAAGCACTATTACAGCAAGAAAAGCAACGACGCTGCAAGAAAGCAAAGTTAGTTCTAAGAGACAAGTTCTGGTGGTGCATGCCTTTAGTCCCAACACTCAGGAGGCAGAGGCAGCCAGATCTCTGTGAGTTCAAGGTCAGCCTGGTCTACACATAGTGAGCTCCGGGCCAGCTGGGGAGACCCTGTCTCTTTTTTTTAAAAAAAAAAAAAAAAAAAAAAAAAAAAGAGGATTTTACACCCAAGTGAAATAGGACTCTTTGTTTTGTTAGTCTTTGATTTTGAAACAGTCTCATGTAACTCAAGCTGACCTAGAATTCATTATGTAGTGTGAAATAGGAGTCTTATGGGAGACGTTTTAAGTGTTATCTGGAAATAAAAGCATATAGTACAATGACTCCATAATATTGAGCATAATATTCTGGCTCTTTTTCAGTGCTGGGATTGAACCCAGGGCCTTGTGCACACTAGGTAAGTGCTCTACCACTGAGCTATAGCCCCAGCCCATGGCTTTATACTTTAAATAGATTAGTAAGTAATAACCAAAAATTTCATATGAGCTATCTTTTTAATTAAACAATAATGGTAGCTTATATACGTGCTTCCATTTTGCCGCACAAAGAAATATTTTTTTATACTAACATAAACTCCTGAAAGCAATACCTATACTTTTCTTCATGGCCCCATAGCACAAGGTCAAGGGCATGGGACCAATGGTTGTTTAGCACCAAATAGAACATATGATATGTCTCTGACTTTACTAACAATATTACAGGGTTAGGGATTCTATTAGCTAGCTTTCTATTGCTTCAATAAAACACTCTGACCAAAATGAACCTGGGGAGGAAAGGGTTTATTTGGCATACACATCCAATCACAGTCTGTCACTGAGGGAAACTAGGGCAGGAACTCAAGGTAGGGCCCTGGAGGCAGGAACTGAAGCAGAAACCACAGAGGAGAGCTCCTTCTTGGCTTATTTCTCTGACCTGTGTTCAGCCTGCTGTCTTATACAACCTAGGACCACCTGCCCAGGTGCAGCACCACTCATTACACACCACTCACACCAATTAAGAAAATGCCTCACAGATATGCCCACAGGTCAACCAGAGACAAGGAATTCCCCAGTTGATGTTTCCTCTTCCCAGGTGTGTCAAGCTAACAACAGAAACTATCCAGCACAGGGATGTAGCTCAATGGTAGAGTGCTTGACTAGCATACATAAGGCCCTGGGTTTGACTCCTACCATCCCTATACAAACACAAACGAGTCATAAGGAGAGCTTGGCTAGTAAAGTGCTTGCCACTCAAGGACAAAGATTTAAGTGTGATCCCCAGAACCCACATAAAAGGTGGGCAAGTCAGAGACAGGGGAATCCTGGCGGTATGTTGGCCAGTCTAGCCAAACTGGGGAGCTCCACATCCAGAAGCAGACACCGTCTCAAAAACTAAGGTGGAAAGTAATTGAGGAAGACACCTGACAAACCTTTGGTTTTCATACATGTACATATACACATATATGCATGTGTAGCCCCCCCATAAACACACACACACACACACACACACACACACACACACATGAAATAAAAGAAGCAGCTAGAGAGATGGCTCGGCAGTTATCAGCACTTACTGCTCTTGCAGAGGACCTAGGTTTGGTTTATAGCACCCACATATGTGGCAGTTCAGAACTACCTATAACTCTAGTTTCAGGGGATCTGATGCCTTCTTCTGGCTTCCTCAAGCTCCTACATGCAGATGGTACATAGAAATTCAGGTAAGCACACATATACATATAAATAAAAATAAATCTTAAAGAAATAAAAGAAAAATCTTTTACAAAAACTGTAAATAAATACACTCTCCTAGCTACTGGCAAAATGGGGAGAAGGAATTTACATAAGAAAATGGTGTCTAGATGACACCATCATAACCACTGGAAAAATTGTTCCATAAGACACAATTTCATGGGGCTGGAGAGATGGCTCAATGGTTAAGAGCACAGGCTGCTCTTGCAGAAGACCTGGGTTCAGCTCTCAGCACCCACATGGTTGCTACCAACCAACTATAACCCCAGTTCCAGGGGATCCAATGCCCTCTTCTGGCTTCTGCTGGGCATTGCATGACAGGGGTGCATATATATCAGGCAAAATACTCATACATATAAAATAAAAATAAATCTTATATAATTTTTAAAAGGCAATTTCATGACTGATGATCAGTGGTACCATCCTCACATACGAAATAAAACATACCACATATTTACTTGTAAAACTCAAAGATTTACTCTAACAACTCTCTGATATGCAACCTAAGCCGACAAAGGTAAAAGAAAAGCTCAAATAATAATAATATAGTTTATAGAAATATATACATACCTAATATTAAAGGGGATTTGAAATTCCTTGCTGTAGGTCCAGCTATCTAAGGAAATCCATCTGTATTTAAGGTCATTAAATCTGTAGTAAGGATCCTGTTGGTACAAGGTAAACATTATGGTAAGTAGCTAAATATGCTGAAATATGAAACAGATGGAGACTATTACAAAATTCCACAACTGTTCAAATGCAGAGAATACAGGACTGTTAGGTAGCCGGCCCTAAGAGACACACCTACAATGTAACCTCCACACTGAAGGCTCAGGGAACATCATGGAAGAGACGGGGAAAGAATGTAAGAGCCAGAGGGACAAGACACCTGCTGCTAGTTAATGCATTCTAGACATGCTAGGGAAGCTGCACCAGTGAAAGCTCCACAGCATGGTACCCTAACAAGATCTGCATAATGGCTTCGGCTTCCCTGGGAATGGCTTCGGCTTCCCTGGGCCTGCACGACCCACAGGCCTCTCTCCGGGTGTCAATCATGCTCTCTGGACCTTGACTCCCCCAGCCTCATTCACCCTCCCATCTCCCCTGCCTGTCTCTCCTCCTAGCCTGGGTCCTGTCCTATTCCTTGTCTTGGTGCCCCAGACACCTGGGGAACCACCACTGCTTCCTGATCCTTTGTATCCAGACCAAACCAGTTCCTTCTTGGGTTGCCAGGAGCACTCTGGGCCTGGCTCCATCCTCACCTCTCTCTACTTCCCTGGGCCTCCGCGACCCACAAGCCTCTTTCCTGGTCACCGAGGCTGACCTTTCCTCTACCTGATCCTTTGCATTGAGACGAACCCAGCTCCTCAGTGCAGGCCCCAGGAGCCCTTGGGGCCACTTCCTGCTCCCATCTTCCTTTGCATCTCTGGGTGTCACAGCCACCAGCCACCCTAGACCACCATCTTTACTGCGCCCAGCTCCCAAGCCAGTCCAACCCCCAAATTCCTGAGGCTAAAATATTTCCTGGAGGGATCCAGACCTTAGGAGAAAGCCTGAGAGAATCTGATTCACATCTGACTTGGGCCTCGGTGGGAACTCCTGAAGAAAAAAGCAATCTGGCCACTCCAATATAAAATCAAAAGAGAGAATGAGAAGCTTAGGCAAACCAGCTTTTCATGCCCAAAAAGTAAACCACAAAGACACATAAAGTTCAAAAGAGCAGACCTAAATTGAAGGCTTGAGTCTCACACAAGAATCAGAAACTACAAAAGAAATTCACATGTCAAAATCACAGAGAAAAAATAGTAACATGAAAAACCAAAATAACATATCCCCACCAAATACCAATATCTTCTAGAGGAGATCATAGAGGAGAACTTCCATGCAGGACATGAAACACAAAAGAACAATTATAAACATGACAAAAAATTCAGTGAATTTAAAGAACACACAAATAAATCAAAGAGCTGAAGGAAGATAGGGATAAACTTCTGAATGAATTCAGAAAAGAGCTAGAAATATGGAAGAATACTCAGGCTGAAATAAAGAACGAAGTGAAACACTCCATAAGCCAATTAGAAACGACATGAGAAAGCCTCACCAATAGAATGAAGCACTTGGAAAACAGAGTATCAGGGTTTAAAATCAAGAAAAAGGAACTGGATTATTCAGTAAAGGCCAATGATGAGAATATGGACAGAACATGAGAGTTTTCAGACCTCATAAAAACAAAACATTGATTTATGAGCAAAGAAGCAGAAGAATATTATACCAAAAGCATATAAAATTTTCAATAATATCACAGAAGAAACTTTTCCAAACCTAGAGAAATAGATGTACCTACAAGAGGCCTACAGAACTCCTAATAGCTGAGATAAGAAACTCCTCATGCTATATTATAGTTAAATGAATTAAATGCACAAAATTCAATTAAAAAATTTAAACTACTAAAAACGCAGAATAAAGTAGG